AGTAACCACCACATGTCGCAAACATGGCCATTGAAAAGCATGAAACATGTAAAGATTGGAAGAGAACTGAGGCTCGATGTAAACAGAGCACAACTAGACCAGTGGGCCTTTCCGGTATGCGTCAGTATGCATGACTATCACCCTATGTTCCTGTTCGGGCAACATCTAATCAGCACCGCAACCTCGTTCATCGTGGGTGCAAGAAGTGGTTTCTGATTAGGTAATTCGCTGAAAAGGAGAGTTGGTCTTGATGTGATCTTAAAAGATTCCACCCCTTTCGGGTCATACGGGAACAATTGAATGCTTTATGAAGGTCCGTCAGAGGGCTCTCAATTTGCTCAGAGTCAACTTACGGGTTCTCCCGACGAAGTGCACTCTTGCGTCGAGGTGGAACAGCATGATACATAAATAATAGACATGAATTTTTTCCATCACCAAAGGCTTGACGAGAAAAAGGTCTAATTTTGGGTCAAAGAGCAACAGTCGAGAACTTGAAGTCAATGGCAGCTTGTTAGATCACTATGATGATTTTTTATCCATACAAAATTTAATTTTGAGCTAACTGTCATGTTGTCTGCTGTTATTACATGACTGCTGTTGTTATATGTTACTATAATTTTGTTGTTGAAAAGTTACACTTGTATCGCTGCTTGAATTCTGATTTTGCCGAGCTTCTTATAATCTGTAAATGTTTTGTACAAAAGAACACAAGCATCTGAGTGAATATATTCTTATGAAAAGTTAATCAAGGAAAAGCAAGTTTTTGATGAAGCAGAAGTTTGTACTTGATGCATAATCAGAAGGCATAATCAAAAATATGATTCGAACCGTTCTGTTCTTCACGTACCTCTCACTCATTGGAATAACTGTCTGGCTTTGAGCGGATTTGAACCATGGCCAGTTGCTCACTTGCTGTTTTAACCAGTGAGTGATCATTCCATTTTATGACACGGTCATGTACTTGAGGGTGATTTGGGTAATTGAGCTGTTTGTTTCGTTTCTATTTTGGTTATGAATACGCGGAAATTACGAGCACAAATAAACGAAGGATTGAAATATTAACATATTATAGAGAAACAATTTAAAACAAAGACACAGAAAGTAAAATATGAGTCATCGCGCATTATTTTTCCAATCAACTGTTCTACTGAACCTTGCCGCTTCGAAGTGAGTCTGCTTGACTTCGTTACTCTCGTGACCACTACTAAAAAGAGAACGCATTGCAGGCCTCACTGAAAAAGAGGTACAAGACAACAAAGATATATTCATTACTAGCTGGCAAACGCGGCTATGCATTGCTTAAAATGCTTCGAAAATCAAGTGTTTCAAATCTCTGAATCCTGCAAGGCGCAGCGGATGTACCAAACTTCGCACTGCAGTAAAAGAACACTTCACTTTAAGAGATACTCTACAACTAGACCAGCAATAATGAGTCGGGATGGTAGGTAAAACCTGAAACAAAGAGGAGTTATTTTTTCCATCGAAACATTTTAATATACTAATACTATGTATGATATACGCAGACGAAAAACTTTGCGATTTTCTTCATCAACATGACTAAAATACCATTAGTGTTAAGAACGGATATCATGCTTTACCTCTGCAAGGAACTCCAAAATTACATTGACATGAAAAAAAAATGAAATGACATTTAACAAATGATTGTACTATTGTGACTTCTACATGAATACCTAAATGGCCTGTCTTCACTTGTCCTGCAGGCCACAGCACTGTTTCCATCCGTTTCTGTCTCTCGCTAGCGTCA